CGAGCGGAGCCGAAGATAGCCGAGCCCCGTAACCGGGTAACTATGCAAGGCGAATCAACAGCGGTGACGTAACTGGACAGCGTGGCTAGCAACAAGGGTGCCTATTACGTGGCCGTATTGTCCGATCGAGGCTACATAGGGAGAAGCGAAGGCTATTCACAGTCAGTTGTACTGTAACAGTCGCCGAGTCAGTTGTACTGAGTCAGTCAGTGAGTCCTGGAGCTACCGCCGAGTTAGCCAGCAACTAGTCAGTTGTATTGTGGCATTTGGAGTGTACTAATTGTGATACTGCAGATAGCAGTAACCGTAAATCTGTAATTTGGGTGATTGTGAGAGCGGATGTGAAATAAAATTCGCTACATCGAATACATCGAGAATTTATTTGTCGCGATATACGCCCGATACGCGACAACTGGTGTCAGAAGTGGGATCAGTAACGCAAAACACGTGACAGTATGCATGATTACCTGCATGTTATGGATGATTACTTGTACAATTGTTGTTACTAGTTCTATACATATTTCTTCCTGATTTTCTTATGTAGTGTCATGATTGAAGTTATACTGTAATGTATACTGTATATATTAATTATAGCTATCTTTAGGGCTGAAATTGTTAAAGTTTATATTTATATCTTGTCAGAATGTTAACATTTTGCTATTTAATTATTAGTTGAATTACAGCTTTTTAAAATTGTAGTGAATATGTTCATCGTACTCTGTTCTAAAATGTTGATTTTAATACTTCTCATTGGAGTGTATGTTTTCATGCTCCATTTATATGGATATTTTTCTTCCTGCTATGCTGTTTCTGTTTTGCAGTTCTTTGTGGACTAACTAATGTTTAATGTCATAATGGATGTGTAGCTTCAGTCACATGATCCGGGGGAAGGGGAGAGTAGTTGTGTAATGATAGGAGATGGGGTAGGGGGAGATTGTGGGTGGTCTTTCAAATACGTATTATTATGAGAGATATCGTTTTATGAAATCAAATCTGTGTAGGTGTCATTTGCAGTTTTTCTTTGCTCAAGTTGTATATGTGAAAGCGTTTGAATATTTAATAATTTACATTTTTTTCTATATGTAGTATGTCCATTGTCTCCTTGATTGTGTTCTGTGTGAAGTATATGTTGGGCATATTTTGTGATATATCTGTTTATTCTTATTGTTGTATATGTTCTTGATATCAGGTTTTAAATGTGCATCCCATCTCTCTGATGTACCTTAGTGGGCATTTATTACATTTTAGTTTGTAAATGCCACTTTGGTTATATTGTGACATCTAGACCCACTGCTAGGCAATGGCTTGATGAACACCTTCCCACGAAGACAGGTTCTTGGTAAGCAGCCTGTTGTTAGGTAAACACGTTCCAGCGAATACGCAACAAAAGAGGACATCCGTTACTAGGCAATGGTTGTATTTATTGAGGTGAGACCTGAGGGAATATAACAAGAAGCCAACAGTGCCTGGGAGTTCTTTTGGAAGTCAGAATAGTTCCAGTGGATTGCCAGTCAGAAGAGATGAAATGTGTCCAGAGTTGAGTCAGAAGAGAGAGAGTTGTAGATTTGAATTCAGGGACTTGGCAGTCGAAGGTGATATCAAGAAAGGAAGTAGACTGTGCCAAGAAGGCATAATGTATGAATTGAAGGCTGTACATATGCTGTAGTTACAGTGAGACTATGGTAAATTTGTTGCCTGGAAACGGATAGTGAAGACTGGTGAAAGCACACTGAGAAGTTTCATTGTGGAGTGATTTGTAATGTGAGAATTGGCAAAAGAGTGTTATACTTAGTTGCAGTTATGACTTTTGAGTGATCGGTAAATCCAGTCACCAATTTGAAACCCATCTGTAGCCACTAATACATGTGACAATATATATCTATTGTTTGTTTTCTTGGTTTTAGTTGGCTTTTTATTGTATTAATGGTTTTGATGGCTATTCCTATATCTGTGGTGTTGAATAATTTTGTGACTGTTCTCGGACTTTGTTAGACTTCAACTAAACTACACAGCGTTAGATCCTAGATCGTATTCTTCATAGTCTGTGACAGCTTCAAATCCAACATGGAGTACGACTTACTCTTGTTTCTGCTGATGACATTCTTCACTGAGGCAACATGTGTTGGGCTATGTAAACTACCAGAGTGTATGTGGCTCTGAGAGTCTATATGTTAGTGAAAGTGCTGATCCTACCCTTCCTGTGTGACACAAGTTATCAGAATTTCTTTTTGAAGTAATTAAAATTAATGGTGTGAAAAGTACATTTGAAATACTATCTATAAAAGAATCCTCATATATATTGTCGCGTATCGGGCGTATATCGCGACAAATAACTTCTCGATGTATTTGATGTAGCGAATTTTATTTCACATCCGCTCTCACAATCACCCAAATTACAATCTGACGATTACTGCTATCTGCAGTATCACAATTAATACACTCCAAATGCCAGAATACAACTGACTGGCTGCTGGCTAACTCGACGATAGGTCCAGGACTCGCTGACTGACTCAGTACAACTCGACTCGACGACTGTTACAGTACAACTGACTAGCTGACTGACTCTGAATACAACTCGACTCGGCGACTGTTACAGTACAACTGACTGTGAATAGCCTTCGCTGCTCCCTATGTAGCCTCGATCGGACAATACGGCCACGTAATAGGCACCCTTGTTGCTAGTGTGACGTGGCATATAGCATAGGACGCTGTTGCTAGCGTGACGTCACCGCTGTTGATTAGCATTGCGTAGTTGCCAGGTTACGGGGCTCGGCTATCTTCGGCTCCGCTCGTCTCTCTTCGGCTCCGCTCGGCTCTCTTCGGCTCCGCTCGTGACGTCACCGCGC